GATGACCCTCGATATTGCCTTCGATAAAACAATCTCGTCCCTTACAAAAATTGCTAGAGCGTCTCACAAGTTGCCTTCAATGATTGTAAAATTGAGCATCTCACGACAAAAACTTTCACACCTACACTTCCATTTCAAAACATTTTCAAAAGATAAAACATTTTGTATACGTTCTTATAGAGACGAGAACCATTACGAAACATCTTTTCAAAACACTTTTTCAAAACACGATTCACAAACACGTCTTTGAACCATTTTTTCGAAACAAAACTTTGTATACGTTCTTATAGAGACGAGAACCATTACAAAGAAACTTTCCAAAATACTTTCAAAACCCACACCACAAGCATACAATCAAACAAAAGCAAGTGATCTAAACGAGTAACTAAGATCCCATGGAAAACCATGGATGAAAAGGGTGCTAACACCTTCCCTTTTCATAATCTACCCCCCGAACCCGATAAAATTCTCGAAAGGTCTTTCCTGTGCTTTTTTACCTTTCCTTTTGGATAAAAGAAAAGTCGGTGGCGACTCTTGCTAACCGCACAAGTGCGAACGAAACGCAAAACCTCTAGTCAGTTCTCCCACCGTATCACAAATACTATATAACTTAAATATCAGTAAAAATAATACTTTACTTTTGTCTTTCCGCTTTAACGCATCCAGCAAAAATGGCGCCGTTGTCGGGGATTGGTGTTTTTATTGGCTTGCATCACAATAGTTTCTATGGTTTTGAGTTTGTATATATCGCATATATTGTATATTTTCACTTGTTTATATTGATACTTGTGTATGTTTTCGATACTTGCGAATTTGTTATATCTTTATTTGTTCTTTTCACGTTTGCTTGTGTGTGGTTAGAAATAGTTGGGAAGACGTGACTTGGAGGAATGTTCTTAAATAACAGGCGTCAAGCTTACGGCGTAAAATAAGCATGTTGATTATTTTTATTTTTTGTTTAGTTTAGGTAGTGTGATGCAATTGTCTAAACAAATATAGATCGGACCAGTTCTTAAACTTCAAATCTTCATTCTTAAATTTGTTTAGACAATTTTATATGGTATTTTAGTTTTTTATATTAAAAGTTTCTGTGTTTGTCAATAAGCTCGTTTTGAGTAACTTATGGAATTGGAGGTGATTTTCCAAGTTTGATCGTTTCAACTTGCGAGTGTATGGTAATGATTTTGTTAGAGTTTTGTACATGTTCAAGGCATGTTTTTATTGCTTTCTTGACTTTAGCATATTCATGATACATAGGTTTTTTATAACTTTTATGCCATTCATTCTTTTGTATACTTGTTCATTTGTGAATCACTTTAGTTCCCACCTTTCTTGTGAGGTAGTTTTCCATTGTTTACATAGGCTGAAGACCACATTCTTGTTCTAATTAGATTTTGTTATGCTTAATCTTTTGTTTGTGTTGACTATATGAAAGCATGAAAAGGATCAAAGCATTTTTGTTTCATTTTGAGCACAACTACCTAGCCAAATAGTCAATTTCACCTTGTGAGTGTGTGATCATTTATAACCCCTTTGAGCCTTTTGTAATTATCCATGTTATTTGAACTTGATGCTTGTCTATGAGTATTGAACTTACTTTTTGAATAGATTTTGATTGTTGTTTTTTCTTGAGCCCTTAACTTTATGTTGTGGTATGAATTTTTGCATTGCCTTAGAATGTAGGGAGTATTCACATAATGATACGGTTGAATTCAAGTTGGGGAGAATAATGATTGTGTACTTATTGATTGATTTCTATGAGGTTGAAAAGAAAAAAAATGTGAAAAAGAAAGAGGAGAAAAATAAAGAAAAAAATCTTTGAAAAATAAAAACAAAAAGAGTTCGAATAATTGTGCGAATAAGTATGGTACTTTGGCGTGAAATTTGGGATTCGGAATAAGTTTAATTAGAATTTTGTGTTTGAATCTTTGGTGAATTGATCACTCTATTAGGTATAAGCAAGTTTTTGTTTCGATTAACCTTAGGAATTATCCCTTGTTAGTTCATCCGACCATACTACAACCTTGAAAAGCCCCTGTGATTCTTGCTTTGGTGTTTTCAATTCAATTTTTGGATGACGACATAATTTAGTCTTTTATTTGCAAGATTGTGGGTGAGTGAAAATTACCCCACTTTTGTGTGTTTTTCATCTATCGATGATTGTGTGCTAGGTGTGGTTCATTTGTGAACCAGTGTTGTTTTAGAATGTTTGGCATGTTCTTTATATTTAGCATTTGTTTCATGTTTATGTTGTCGTCGTAGCTTTGTGGTAAGTATATTTCTTTGTGTGTATCGTTTCTCATTTGAGTGATACATTTGTTTCCGTTTTTCAAAACTTGTCGTTTTGTGATTCTTTGGTTGATTTATTTTGTTTCTTTGAGTTATTTGTTTCTTGTTTATGGACAAACAAGTTCAAGTTGGGGAGAATGTGTTAGGTGCCAAAAGCCGTGTTTTGAGTAGTTAGTTTGTGGCACTTTTCGACTCTTGTTTGTTAATATCCTTGAATAATTCCCCGCTTTTTGTATAATTATGTATAAATTTTATTTAATCGATTTTTTGTATATTTGTGTACTGTTTGATAGTTTTCTATTTATTTTATAGGTATTAGTTCATATTTGGAGCATGAGCAATAAAGTATCGAAGACACGACTTCAAACGCGCGATTTTAAGCAACTCATCACGAATAAGGCTCAAAATAAAAGAATAATAAATCATAAATTTGGATGATATTTAGACATTATAGATAATTGAATAATCTTTCCAACGCTTTGAACCGGGCGTAAATCGGAATTACGGCTCTCAAGTTATGACGAAAACAAAAAGCTGATTTTTCTCTCATGATAGTAGAGTATGCTTAGCGGGATTTGTGCCGCTTAGCGCGGTCCCATGAACAAAAATTCATTAATAGGGGTAAAAACACATTTTTTAGGTGATGTTTTGGGTATTTTTGGTCCCAAACCATCAGACCTTCATTTTTTGGTAGAGAGAGCTTAGAAAATAACTTCGGAGCTTGCAGGGGTGGATTGATCATCAATCAGCGCTGACAAACTAAGATATTTTCGTTCATTTATCTTCATATTTGTGTATTTATCTTTGGTTGGGTTTTGTATATGATTTTAATTTAAAATCATGTATATTTTTCGCTCATGGCAATTTATACAACTTGCTTTACAAATCTTTGTCGATTGTTATCCTTGGTTTTTGCTCTGTGCTAGGGATTTGAGTTACTATAGACATATACTACTTGGATTCTTATCTAGGATGATTATATGTTAGTTTCTGGATTCTAGAGATAGATTTAGAGCTAACATTCACTTTGGCTATATGTGATTAATGCATCTATGTTTTTTGTGTCACTCTGAGAGATCGTCGACGCAAGCAAGCACGATTGACTTCTGTGTTATTATGGTTAGTATAGAGATCTCCATCGAGGTGATACAATGGATGTTGTGTTTGATATGTGATGATATTGATTAATATTGTAGATTGAGTATAACTGGTTTATAGGTTTAAGTTTGTGACGAGTAGAGTACATTAGAGTCAGATAAGTTTGTCTTTCCTTTTTAAACATTTATTTTTTGTTAATACATTTTCTTTCAACTCATTCAAACCCCGAACTCATTAACAAGATATTTTTCAAATGCCATTTCAATACACCAATCTCTATGGACATGATACGATATAACCTAAATATCAACCTGTAAAAATTATGCTTTACTTTTTGTTTGCCGCTTTACCGCATCCAACATCTGTCAAAACACATTCCTCCCAAAATAAGATGGAAAAGTCATCTTGGAACCTCAAGGCTCGTGCAACGTTTAGTACGTGTCTATAATTCCTCTCCACCCTTGAATTTTATTAAGGCGTTCCTACGCATTAAGTTTCATGTAGGATTCCTTCTTGGTAAATAATTTCTTAAAAAGCATGATCTGTAAATTTTGTCCCATTATCACTATGCAACCTCTTGACCTTTCCATTATACTGTGTCCTTATCATGTTGAGCAAATTTATTAATGTTTTTAGAACTTCTATTTTTTCTTTCATCAAGTATACCCATGTTCCGCGTGAATAATCATTAACAATCATAAGAAAATAATGGCAACCATTATGAGAGTTAGTGTTATATTTACCCCAGAAGTTACAATGTATAAGATCAAAAGGATTCTCAGCTTTATTATAACTAATATGAAAGGGAAGTCTGCATTATTTTGATCTATGGAATATGTCACAATAATGGACTATATTATATTTGAAATTAAAATTCACTAGTTGAGATATATGTTGCATGACTTGAGGAGAAGGATGTCCCATGCGTGCATGCCAGAGAGCAATTTCATTTTCATGATGAGCCTTGAAATCTGACCCTTGAACTTGTTGCCTCAGCACCTAAACCTCACCATGTACATCACCTAAACCAATCTTCTTCTTCGTGACAAAGTCTTGTATCAAACAATGATTATGATGATAAGATATAAACAATTTAAATCACTAGTAAATTGACATATTGAAATCAAATTGCAATCAAACTCGGGCACAAATAAAACGTGCAAATTTATGTATTTACTAAGATCAATGATCACCATTTCCTCGACTAACACTACATTCCATGTAGGAACAATGATATAGAAAGGTTTCTCAATCTTGGTTACCTCTCTCATTAAGGATAAGATAGGATTCATGTGATATGATGCACCATTGTCCAAGATCCATTTTTTATCCTTGCATAACATATCATTACCAGAATCAAAAGAATCATGATGCATCACACGCGAACTATGCAATGCTCGCCCTTGCATGATTTCTTTATCTTATTTTTTATCTTCAGTAACATGTGCGTGCTGAGCTCTGGGTTGTCCTCCATTGTCTCTTGGATAACGATGCATCCTTCGTGTGCCCCCGTTTTCCGGATAGCCTATAATCTCAAAGCAACATGCCTTAATGTGGAAAACTTTGCCATAATGATCACATTTTGACTTATGTTCATCTCTTATTAGCCTATTTTAATTTGGAGCATAAAAAGCATATCCTCCTGATTCTCCCCTGACTGTGACCATCTCATCTCTTTCACTTGTGATCCTGGCCTCTTCTCCGAGGACGTGATTAAAGACACGTTGTAGCATAGGCAAAGGTTCAGTGTTCAACATGGTTCCCTTAACATGCTCAAATGGCTCATTGTTAAACTTCTAAGGAAGAGGTGCACATGTTGACTTTCTTCTCTCTACAAAATCTCTTTAGATGCACCTCAGGTACACTCCAAAAGTGATTGTAACTCACCTAGTTCATCAAGAAGGCTTTTGAACTTGGTGTAATATTCGGCCACTGTTATGTCTGGCTCATGCTCCATTAAACACAACATTCACCATAACTGGTGGATTCTTGGAGCGTTAGTTTGAGAAAATCTCACTTCTAGATCCTCCCATATATGTCTTGCAGTTGATGCATGAGAGATGTTTCCATGTAAAATTGGATCTACAATATCAATTATCCACGCCATGACTATTGAATCGACTCTCTTCCAATTGTAGAAATATGGATATTTCCTCGCTGGTTTCTTATCATTGCATCGATGAAACCCAACTTGTTTTTTGCGCGAAGTGTCATCCTCATGGAATGTGCCTAATTTTCGTAGTTCTAGCCTTTGAGCGTCGCAGCCACGAGTGACGTTCCTGGATTATCAGAGGAACTGAGATAGTAGGGTGATGTATTTGCGATAGCGGAAGACATTTTTGTTTTGTTGGAGGCATTGTTCTTTTCCACCTTTTTCTCACTTTCATTCTCTGAATTAGAATCGGGCTTGTTGGAAATAAGACCTTTTATGTTAAGGAGAAGTGTGTGGGAATATTGAAGGTTTGAATATAAATTTGATAAGTAGGATAATTCTTTATGGAGGAGAAGAACTTTGTATTTTTGCTTGATACAAATATGTGAGATTACATCTCTATTTATATTACTCTAAGGAGAACTCTAGACACACTAATTCTAGAGAGTTCTCAACTCTAGAGATCCAAAGACTATTCTAGAAAATATTACAATTATAAGAAATATCTAGAGATTCCAAATATTACAAGAATTCTCTAGAAAACTACTTAAGCCCAAAATAACTAGGCCCAAAAACCAATTAATAAATTTAGGCCCAAATCAAGTTTAATATTTTCAACATCCCCCCTTAAACTTGATTTGTGACTCCAAGCATACTCCTTAGCTTCACGGAAGTTTCCAACATTAGTGGCTTGGTGAAAATGTCGGCAGCTTGATCTTGAGACATTATATACTTCAACTTCAAGACTTTTTCTTCTTTCCCTTTTACTTCATAGCCTAGTGGTTGCTCGATATAAACTTCTTCTTCAAGAAAACCATTCAAGAAGGCTGATTTCACATCCATTTGATAGATCTTCCATTCATTTTGGGCTGCCAAGGAAATGATCAGACTAATAGTTTCAAGACGAGAAACAGGAGCAAATACCTCATCATAGTCAATTTCTTGTCTTTGACTATAGCCTTTCGCCACCAATCTTGCTTTGTATCTCTCCACATCTCCTTTTGCATTCTTCTTTGCCTTGTACACCCATCTTACTCCAATTGCTTTATGTCCTTGTGGAAGTGTAGTAAGTTCCCATGTATCATTCTTCGTGATAGACTTGATTTCTCCGTCCATGGCGTCTCTCCACTTTATATTTTCTACCGCTTCTTGATAGCTTAGAGGCTCACAATCACCAAAAAGACAAAAGAAGTTAATGTCGTTTTGGTTTTTGATTACCTCATAAAGATCTTCAATGCTCCTTAGTCGTGGTGTCTTCTCACTTGAACTTGTTTCATCCAACCTTGGTGTCGGTGAGGAAGGTGGTGTAATATGTTCCTCTATCATTGGTTGTTCCATTTCTTCTTCTTCTTCTTCTTCTTCTTCTTCTTCTTCAAAGTAAGGAAGAAAATCATAGTTGTCTTCTTGAGAACTCCAATCCAAATAATCTTTTTCGTCAAACTCCACATCACGACTTATGATGATCTTTCCACTATTTGGGTTATAAAGCTTATACCCTTTAGAGCTTGAGTCATAACCCACAAACACATACTTCTCACTTTTATCATCGAGCTTTGTTCTTCTTTCATCTAGAACATGGGTATAGGCAATGCTTCCAAATACTTTGAGGTGAGAGATCCCAGGTTTCCTTCCACTCCATGCTTCTTGGGGTGTCTTTTCATGGACGCTTCATGTTGGGGAACGATTTGTCAAGTAAACTGCACATGCCACTGCTTCGGCCCAAAACTCCTTCGACATCTTCTTGCTCTTGAGCATGCTTCGTACCATGTTAAGTATAGTATGATTCTTTCTCTCTGCTATTCCATTTTGTTGAGGCGATCTTGGCACTGTCAGTGGGCGACGGATTCCATGGTCTTCACAATATTTGTTGAACTCATTTGAAGTGAACTCTCCTCCTCGGTCAGATCTCATGGCCTTGATGGAAAGACCACTTTCTTTCTCCACAAGGGCTTTGAACTTCTTAAAGTTGTCAAACACTTCTGACTTCTCCTTTAATAAATAAACCTATATTTTTCTGGAATAATCATCAATAAAGAGGAGAAAGTATTTATTCTTACCAAACGAGTTGGGTTTGATTGGTCCACAGACATCCGTGTGTATAAGCTCTAGTGGCTTTGTTGCTCTTGACGTTGATTCCTTTGGATAACTTTTTTGGAATTGCTTCCCAATTAGACATCCTTCACAGAGTTGGTCTATGTGGTTGATCCTAGGCAAGCCTCTCACCATCTCTTTCTTCGACAAACGTTCTAGACCATCGAAGTTGAGGTGCCCAAATCGTAGATGCCATAGCCATGAAGAATCAGTATAGAAAGCCTTGAGACACTTTGCTACGTCATTTTGAATGTTCAAGAGGAACATTCTATTTTTTGACATAGGCACCTTAGCAATCATGTTATGACTATAATCTCTTAAGAAAAGACTATGTTCTTTTCAATGGATGTCATAGCCTTTATCTAATAATTTTCCCAAACTCAAAATATTATTCTTCATGTTAGGCACATAATAGACATTGGATATGAATTGATGACTCTCATTATTCAAGCGTATGAGAATTTTACCTTTGCCTTTGACCGGTATCTTTGAGTCATCTCCAAATGATACATCACCAGTTTCCGCTTCATTGATCTCTACGAACATGTTTCGATCGCCACACATGTGGTTGCTTGCGCCAGTGTCCAAGTACCACTTATTTATTTTCTCTTCAACTTCGTTTTGACATGCGAGTAGCAAAGTTTCTTCTTCTACACCTTTTTCTTCTATAAAATTAGCTTTCTCTTCCCCCATTCTTCGAGAATCTACACTCGGTTGCGTAATGACCAATCTTGTTGCAGTTGAAACATTTGACTTGTGATTTATTGCTCCTCGACCATGAGGTTCCTCTTCCACGACCTCTTGTTGCTTGTGGATTCCAACTTCTTTCTCCATTGTTAAAGTTGTTGGAGTAGTTATTGCAACCGCCTCTTCCTTCTCCTCCATGTCCTCGTCCACGTCCACGATATTGGCCACGACCTCGTCCTCTTTGACTCTTGTAATTCGCATAGTTTGCCTCCTTTATGTTGAGTTGTAGTAATTCCTCCATAGCCTCCTTTGTTTAATTTTTCTCTTTTGTTTTTCTTCGTATACTTGTAAGGAACCCATGAGTTGCTCAATACTCATGGTCTTTAGATCCTTATTTTCTTCAATGTTGGTAACAATGAAGTCAAAACTTGGATTTAAAGTGCGAAGTATTTTATCCATGACTTTCACATCATTAACATCTTCACCATTTCTCTTAAGTTGATTGACTACAACCAATACTCGAGAAAAATAATCTGAAATTGACTCGGACTCCTCCATAAATAAACGTTCAAAGTCACCTCTAAGAGTTTGAAGACGAATCTTTTTTACCTGCTCAACTCCTTTGTTGCAAGTTTGAAGCTTGTCCCATGCTTCTTTGGCCGTTGTTACGTTGGATATCTTCTCAAACATATCTTCATCCACCGATTGATAAATGAGAAAGAGAGCTTTCTTGTCTCTCTTTCTTGACTCCTTCAATGTCTCTCTTACACCTTGGCTTAGCGAGGATTCATCTTGATCCTTGAAGCCTTTTTCAATAATATCCCACGCCTCTTGAGCTCCTAGTAGCGCCTTCATCTTGATACTCCAATTATCATAGTTGTTCTTTGTGAGCATCGGCATTTGGAAAGGGAAACCACCATTCGCCATTTTGTGGATCTCGAAGCTCTGATACCACTTTGTTGGAAATAAGGCCTTTTATGTTAAGGAGAAGTGTGTGGGAATATTGAAGGTTTGAATATAAATTTGATAAGTAGGATAATTCTTTATGTAGGAGAAGAACTTTATATTTTTGCTTGATACAAATATGTGAGATTACATCTCTATTTATAGTACTCTAAAGAGAACTCTAGACACACTAATTCTAGAGAGTTCTCAACTCTAGAGATCCAAAGACTATTCTAGAAAATATTACAATTATAAGAAATATCTAGAGATTCCAAATATTACAAGAATTCTCTAGAAAACTACTTAAGCCCAAAATAACTAAGCCCAAAAACCAATTAATAAATTTAGACCCAAATCAAATTTAATATTTTTAACAGTGCTCTGATGCCATATTGAAATGATAGAAAGTGTTGTAATGTTTCTATTTAATTGTAATATTTTGTGTACAATGACAAGCAATATATAGTTGTACAATGAGACAATCAATAGACCTATTTAAGGCAGTAGATCAATCTAAGGGTAAACAAAGGATTGACTCTTAACAAAAGAAAACAGTAATTGAGATTAACAATTTGTCTAAACAAATGCTAAGTAACAACTCATGTCAACTAATATTCAATAGAATATTCAAACAAGTACTTGGTCTTAAGTGAGAAAGGAATTAAGGAACTTCTACTAAAGACGAATAGTTCGGGTACTACCCAAGTTCGATTCTTGGTGAAAATAAGACTTGGCCAATGAGTCATCCCTCGGAATCATGAATTACAACTAAAAATTCCCTTTGTTTCAAAATGATTGTCGATTAAGGTTTTTACACATAGATTAAAGAATGCAATAATATTGTCGTAAGACATTATACATTTACAAAATTAACCTTATTAATATATTGAAAATAATGTGCAGGCTAAAAAGTAAAAAACATAATTGAAAAAAATCGTTATCATTACAATATTAAAAAATAAAAATGACAATCATTTTAAAACAGAAGAAATATTGTTGTAAACATATATATTTTACTTACCGACGGAATATAATTAGTAATATAATTCATGGTAAATGAATATCCTATCAGTGATGGTACTCGTTTCTGACTAAAAGCTAATTAATTAATTGGTTGATTAAACAATCTAAACATTTGTTAATCACAATTGATAGTATGCTCTTTTCATATAAATACATTAGCTTAACTTTACTGACATAGTATGTATTTGCATGCAATGGATATCAAGTCA